TATGATCTAGGTAAGAGGTTTGTCAGTGACCCTGCTTGCTGTAGCTGCTGTTGACATTGTTCACATGGGCGGTCCCTTCTCTTGTCCCATGACTATAGCTGTAGCTGTTGCCTCCTTGCTTTGCAGTTTAGGAGAGGAGTCTCAACTTGTTCAACTGCTGCTATCTGGAGATTGTACAGAGACCTCTGCCTAGGGTGGGGCTAATAGGCCCTAAAATCATAGAATCATAGAACCATAGGATTAGAAGGGTCATATAGTTTAATCCCTTGCCAAGATACAGGATTTGCTGTGTCTAAGCCATCAGATGGCTATCCAGCCTTCTTTTGAAAACTTTCAGTGAAGAAGCTTCCAGTTTTTCCTGAGATTTAATCTAAATCTGCTATGCTGTAGTTTGAACCCATTGCCTCTTGTGTTCCTCTCTGTGGCAAGAGAGAACAACTTTTCTCCATCTTTTTATGACAGCCTTTCAAGTATTTGAAGATCTCTATCATGTCCCCCCCTTAATCTCCTCTTTTCCAAACTAAACATACCCAGCTCCTTCAGCCTTTTCTCATATGGCTTGCGTTCCATCCCTTTGATCATCTTTGTCACTCACCTCTGGATCCTTTCCAGTTTAGCTACATCCTCACTATACATTGTTGACCAAAACTGATCACAGTACTCCAGCTGAGGCCTAATCAGTGCTGAGTAGAGTGGTACTATCACTTCCTGAGACTTGCATGCTATGCCTCTGCTAATGCAGCCTAAAATTGCATTTGCTCTTTTTGCAGTAGAATTGCATTGTTGACTCATGATGAAGTTGTCATCCACCACAACTCCCAGATCCTTCTCAGCAGTGCTGCTCCAAGCCAGTTATCCCCCATCCTGCATTTGTGCATTTGTTTTTTCTTCCCTAAGTGTAGAACCTTACATTTGTCTTTGTTGAATTTCATTTTATTATCTCTAGTCCAGTTCTCCAATGTATCAAGATCCCTCGGAATTTTAGCTCTATCCTCCAAAGTCTTGGCAGCCTCACACTGTCAACTTTGTGTTTGCTGCAAATTTGATCAGTTTGCTCTCTGTTCCTACATCCAGGTCGTTAATAAAGATGTTACATGACACCGGACCCAGAACAGATCCCTGTGGAACCCCACTTGAGACCTCCCTCCAATCTGACATCATTTCATTCATTCCACTCTTTGTTTGTGGTTGTTTAACCAATTATGTATCCACTTAATGGTAATTCCATTGAGCCTGCATTTCTCCAGCTAACTTATCAGAATTTCATGTGGGATTGTGTCAACAGCCTTGCTAAATAAAGTCCAGCTATATTATGTCCACCACATTCCCCCTATCCACCAAGCCAGTTACCCTGTGAAAGAAGGGAATCAAGCTGGTTTGGCATGATTTGTTCTAGTAAATCCATGCTGGATGCCAATGATCACCCTTCATCCTCCAGGTCACAAACTAAATGTTTTATGTATTGCTCTAGTAGCTTCCCAGGTACCGAGGTCAGACTGATTGATCTATAGCTCCTCTTTTCCCCCCTTTTTAAAGATGGGCACTACGTTAGCCCTTCTCCAGTCTTCTGGGACCTCTTCTGTCATCCATTAGTTTGCAAATATTATTGTCAGTGGCACCAAGATTTCTTCAGCTAATTCCTTCAGCACCTTGGGGTGACCTGGGGTAGGTGGCTAGCCTATGTGACCTGAAATCACTGGGTGTGGTGGGCTTGGGAATAGAGTGGTGAGAAAAGTGTCAGAGAGGCCCTGAAATAAGAAGGTGGGGTGGTGGATCTGGGAAATGAGATATGAGGTGTCAGTGGCATGGAAATGAGTAATGAGAGGGCAGGAGAGTCTTGTGCATGTGAGCCATAACCAGTGACTCTTGTTCCTTTTGAAATCTTTATTAAGCAATTAATAAATATGATTGTATAAAATTTCAAAAGGAATAGAGTGTGAGCGTTCCTGAATGTTATGTGTTCACTGCGTAGAATAATGCTTTATTAATAGACTTGGATAATTGAGCTGCTTTGGAGTTATGAAGTGTGTTGATTGTGTAGTGTTATAGGTTTATATAAGCATATGCAGACTAGAGCTGGGCAACATTTTTTGTGCAACTCCCCACCCCCACTTTATGCCAAAAAATGCAGGGGAAAAAAACAACAAAAATTCCAGAAAAATGAAAAGTTTGAAAATGTTGAAACAAAAATCAAATGTTTCTATTTGTTGATTGGAAATAACTTGAATTTTAGTGCAGTTTTATTTTTGAAAAAGTGAAAAACCTGAGAACAAAATGAAATGTATCATTTGGAGCTAAACAAAACGTTTGTTTTACCCAAAACAATTTTTTTCCTAGTTTGGCCACCAAACTGAAAAATCAGTTACTCACACAGCTCCAGTAGAGACCTTTCAAATGTATATTTTTAACTACAATATGTAGCAGCTAACATAGGTAGCTTTCTTCTAACTGTAGATATTAGTATTTTAATATACTAGAAATTGATCCCTTGAATAGCAAATACATTTTATAATCTCCTAGAAATTTATTTTGACCTTTGTGTATATTTTTCCACATTTTAGGAAACAATATTAAGGTTGGATGAGACATATAAGTTAGGTGGTAAGTGCTGAAGGATTATGTGTCATTGAGGATCAGGCTGATTCCATAACTGTTCACTTCCAGGAGTCCAACATTTGGATTTTTAAAAGATGCATTTTAATCTTATAAATGTTAATTTATTTTTGGGTGTTAGCTGGACTCCAGTGAAGCACACATTTGGCCTGAAGTCTTATAGTAACTCACCCTCTGCTTTTCCCTTTCATGGTTTCAACTTTCCTTCCTGATTTTATGTTAAGATGTATTGAATTACCAAAGGCTGATTTTATTTATACAATATTTTTAGATTACTAAAGAGCAGAAAATATTTGAGACAGAGAGAGAGAGAGAGAGAGACTCCTACCTGTTTTGCTGAATTGTGTATTAGCAGGAATACATGTAATGCAATACTTTCATTTGAATATAAGGGACAAGGAGAATTGGATTTGCAGCTCTTGGTAACAATTGCAGGAGGGATGTGATATACATTCTGTTGATGCACAGGCAGTACAACATAATCAAATACCATGCAATGGCTTGCAGTACACAATGAAATAAATAAAGTGCAGAAACAAACTTTTCAGGTTACTTCCATGAATCTAAAGTGGCACTGTTCTGACACTGTGTATGCAGTTTGCTTTACTTCTAAATCGGCATTTCCAACAGTACTACAGTATGCAGCCTTTTCAAACTGGAGCAATTTGTTCCCAGGCCAACTCTATCCTCCTGTTGACACTTCTGACTTCAGTTTTAAAAGATGTGGTGAGGCAGCACAGAGGATAAGAATTCTAGAAGCAGAGTGAAACGCTTGGTGTGTCCTTTTACATGCCCTTATGTACAGTGCTTTTCCAGCTCAGTGATTTCGTGTCACTACTGGCATAGAGCTGTGTGTTTGTATGTGCAGGGGGCTCTTAGACAGTGTGCTTTGTAAGCAGCAAGGAGAAGCCTTTTTGAAAGAGGGAAGGAAAGCTGGAGGTATTAATCTTTAGTGTCTAAAAGTGGAAAGTGGCTACTACTATATGGACAGCTTGTGAGAAGGTTCACGGTATCCTATGCTGAAAATCTGATCAAGTCACACTGGGACTACTTGAGTTTTGTGGTGTCTGGCTATGACCAAATCTTACAGGTAAACAAAACCTGAGCATCATGATCTTTACCTTACTTCACTGGTTGCAAGTAAAAGATGGACAGAACTGGAAAAATACAGAGCTACAGCTTAATGTTTGTAAAGGCCCAGAGGAATTTGGAATTTAGAAACAGTATTTTTAGACAGAACAACAACCCGAGAGTAACAGTAGCTACTGTAACCTATGAGACTGCAGAAGTGTAAATCAAGAAGCAATTGATTTTGGCAGCAATCACGTCTGCATAGAGTCTTGCTGACTGTAGGTGGAGTCTCGGAGGTCATTTTGTTTCATCTTCCTGTAGAGAAAGTGCAGGTAACCTACATTTTAGATCCGTTTTTCTTTCCCTTTGCCCACACTGTACTGTGTTTATTTTATATCAGCATTATAAACATTCCATGATTTTTTTTCTATATAGTTTGGGGTGGTAGTTATGGTGGTTTCTGTTTTTATAAATCTTTTATGCTGCTTCACGCACTCACATTTTGAAGATAATTGCCCTTGTTGAGTCTTTGGCAGGCTGAGGAGTGTAAATTAGGGATAATTGCTGATCCAAGTTTTGAATGGCAGCTTCCCTTGAAGGAATCAGGGCAATGTTAGTATGCGGCCTGAGTGTGTCTTCTAATGAAAATGTTTGTCATGCCTTGAGGAAATTGCAGAATATTCAAGCAGAAATCTTTGCTTGTATATAATTCTATAGAGTTTGATTTTGTATCATGTCTTCATGCAAACTGTATCCCACAATGCTATAAGAAACAAATAATACAGTTACAAAGTTACAGTAAAAATGAAAACAGTGGGAGATGGACAAGCTTGTAGAGCCCACTCTGCCATACCTTCACTGCAATTGGCCACACTAGCTAAACTGGAGCTAGCATGGATGTGTCTACACAAGGGGCAATCAGATCTCTCACTGCAGGATAGACATCGTAAATAAGGGAGTATAGGTCAAGAGAACAGAGTTTACTAGAGACATCAATTCATGTTGAACTTTGTCACATCAAAATTCATTCAGTCACTGTGGCATTGGTGATGTCAGAGTATAGAGAAACTCCACTATGCCAAAACTCTCAGAGAATTATCATTACTTGTTCCCTCTGATTATTGATACAGTTTGGGTGATAGACTGTTTTGAAATAAATTCATCCAGGTCTCATTCAATAGCATGCTCTTGAGCACCATTACAGAGCATTGTCAGATTATATTTAAGTTTTTAATATATTAGCACACATTCATATGTGTGTGTATATAGACATGCAAATATGCCATAAAGACAAAAGCACACAAAAATACATAAAGTAATTTACGGAGCAGTTTTTTAATATACACTGTGCATGTAAACATTTGAGAAATTGTGCAGTGGAAGTCACTGTAGTCACTTAATATTTTGACTTTGTGAATAATGTGCAGGCTCATGTCTTCCACTTGAAACACAACTGGATGTTAAGAACTACATTGTGTAGCTGTGGCTATTACCTTTCAACCTGGAAAAACAGATGCTATAAATCTTATGGCAGATTTCTGCAGCAGGCATATTGTATATGATAGTGCTATATTTCATTCCACTATTTAGTAAAATGCGACCTAATCAGCAAATGTAACAGCCAGACAATGATTTTCATGCCATGTAACCAAAAAGTTGACAATAACAAAGAAAAAGTTATGTCACATGTTTACATGTATGCGAGCAATAGCATCTATACATTATATTGTCAGTTGCATTTATATGGTTAATAACCCCAATAAAAACATCAAACTCATTTTAAATGTTTGAACTTTGTAAGCATCTCTCTCTCTCTCTCTCACACACACACACACACACACACGCTTCAGAACATATGCATGCACAACTCCTATGGACTCCAACAGGAGTTTTGCCCACATGGACTTAAACTTCAGGTCCACAATTTGTAAGCAGTATTCTGCATATCTGTAATTTAGTGACCATCTTCTAGGAAGAGTTTTGGACACTTTTTGTAACACTTTACTGTGTTCCATTGATATTGCTGCATTCCACTTCAATTTCAATCCAAAACAGATACAGTCTCTGCAGAATAACAAGCCTAAGAGATAAACATGACTGGCTAATTATACATGTGCTTCAAGATTCTCTTTTACAAATGATTGCTCTTTTGCTGATATAGAAAAATATATGTTTATTTTGTAAAGAGGGTTAGAATAAATAGCACATTATAATACCCTGCTTTTGGTATCAGTCTGTGCTGTAAGTGCCTAATGTTGGTGCTATTTTTAGATGGTCTATTCCTATCTTTGAATAGTGAAATGCTAATTTCCCAGCTAATGGATTGTCTCATTCTGTAAAATTAAGTAAATAAAATACAGGTGTGGACTGACACATTTCCAGATAAAAGCTTTTAAAATTCATGCTAAACATACTTTTATACAGAATATATTCACCACTCAGTTAAATGTTTCCTTTAAAAAGTGGCAAAAAGACAGAGATAAACTATATCCTCACAGATTCCATATTCAACATCTTCTGAAAATCCCATGGTGACTAATTCTAATCGGCCATCAAGTAAAAAGATGGCTAGGTCCAGGTACATACGGAACTCTTCCTGCTTGGGTCAAAGACTGCAAACATCCTGCACAGTGCTGTGTGAGACTTTCATTTTCATAAGAAGGTGATGTAATTTTCAGAGACAGCAACATTGTCAAGAGGATCCCAATTTGCAGATCTTTAAATTTATAGTAAATCCATTAAATCACCTCTGAAATTAGGTAGAAGGGCAAAGAACTTCTGAATGGATTATATTTTGTGGAACACTCAGTGGATTTCCTGTTTAAACAGCTTTCATGTGACATTTTTTTCCTCCTGGATTGAAGTGGTCTCAGTGTCCTTCAGTCTCAGTTTATGCTGTCCTTATGGCTGCTTCGATCTGTATTGTGGTTATTTAGTTCATGGTTTTTCCACTGAATGCTTGTTCCATTCATTGGCACTGACGTCACTAGACTTTTGGACTGGTAGCAGCAACAGCAGAGACATGACTGGAAAGAAAAAGGGTTCGAAATAACATAAATCTAGCAACTCTCTATAGAACTATATTCTGTCTTCAGATGTGTGCATAAGATTCCAAGTGAAGAAGTGGGAGCTGCACATAGGCAGAGTTTGGCCTTAAAAATGCAGGTGATTCTGTAATTGCCCATCTCTATGCCACAAAATTAAGGCCTGATCTTACACTCCTTATTTAGACAAAATTTTCACTTCACTGAATGGGAATTTTGCCTGAGTAAGGTGTGCAAGTTGAGATCCCACCACACTTCTGAAGTGTAATGCATTGGGTGATACATTCCACACTACAGCAAATCATCCCTTCCAGTCCTGCAAACTACGGCAGTGTTCCAAGACAAGGACTAGTAGTAGCAGACTGGCGGGGATGAGGAAAACAAGAGGAAACCTTTAGATCCTCATCCTCTGCCTTTCTTTCCCTCCTTCTTCTTTCCTCCTATCCTTTCTAAGAAGCAGAGAGAGTAAGAGCAGGAACATACTTTTTTTTTTTTAGCCAGGGGAATGGTGAGGATGATGACTCAAGCCTAAGCTGCTGGATTCTGCACCGGCTGGGAGTCTCCATTACCTCTTTTGAAAAGTGCAACAGCACAACCTGCTCCCTCAGGCTTTCTCCCCCTCTCATGAAATACGAAGTCTGATCTTAGGCAGCTGGGATTTCTGACTGCTCTGGAGAGGGAAGGGGAATGAGGACTGGGATTCCAGCAGCAATAGCAGGACTAGTGACCTCTCCGGGACATAGCAGCAAAAGAGCTTTGCAGATAGGCAGAGCTAGACTCAAGTTAACTGTATTGCGTATTTGTGGGTTGGGATGTAAAATAATTGTATTGATACTCAGGTAGGGGAATAATTTAATTGTAACATGGGAGAGTGGATTGAATTTATTGTTTTTGGTATGGGAGATATGGGGATGGGTTGTAGTGAGGGGATGAGAGGCATAAATTAATTGTCTGACAGGGGTGGGGGCTGGCCTGAACTAATTGTATTGGGGCAGGCAGAGGGACTGAATTAATTATATTGGAGGCAGCCTGGGTAGGTCCAACTCTATTTCCAGTGCCATTTCTCCAGGTATCCAATGAGAGGTCCAGGCAAAGATCCTTTCCACAAACCCACCAGTCCCCAAGCACCCTGGGCAGGGATCACTCTTGCAACCCCCCGCAATTTGTAACCGCTTGCAAACTTGGTTTTATTTCATTCATACAGTGTGGAAGTATCCTAAAAACCCCCTCTAAATTAGTGCATGTAATGCTGAACAAAACACATGTGTTCCACATTGTAACCATTTGTCACATGATTCATTGGCTTGGGTCACACATTGGCAGGTTTGCTTTCTTTCCTTTACTTATAATCATAGACTCATAGAATACCAGGCCCGGGTAGAGACTGTCGAATTGTGGAATTCAACGAATGGCTATGCAGGTGGTGTTGGAGAGAAGGCTTTGGATTCTTTGACCATGGAATGGTGTTCCAAGAAGAAGGATTGGTAGGCAGAGACGGGCTCCACCTAACGAAGAGAGGGAAGAGCATCTTCACAAGCAGGCTGGCTAACCTAGTGAGGAGGGCTTTAAACTAAGTTCACCGGGGGAAGGAGACCAAAGCCCTGAGGTAAGTGGGAAAGTGGGATACCAGGAGGAAGCACAAGCAGGGGAGCACAAGAGGGGAGGACTCCTGCCTCATACTGAGAAAGCAGGACGATCAGCAAGTTATCTTAAGTGCCTATACACAAATGCAAGAAGCCTGGGAAACAAGCAGGGAGAACTGGAAGTCCTGGCACAATCAAGGAATTATGATGTGATTGGAATAACAGAGACTTGGTGGGATAACTCACGTGACTGGAGTACTGTCATGGATGGATATAAACTGTTCAGGAAGGACAGGCAGGACAGAAAAGGTAGGGGGAGTTGCATTGTATGTAAGAGACTAGTATGACTGCTCAGAGCTCCAGTATGAAACTGCAGAAAAACCTGAGAGTCTCTGGATTAGGTTTAGAAGTTTGAGGAACAAGGGTGATGTCGTGGTGGGAGTCTGCTATAGACCACCAGCCAGGGGGGTGAGGTGGACGAGGCTTCCTTCATGCAACTAACAGAAGTTACAAGATCACAGGCCCTGGTTCTCATGGGGGACTTCAGTCACCCCGATATCTGCTGGGAGAGCAATACCGCAGTGCACAGACAATCCAGGAAATTTTTGGAAAGTGTAGGGGACAATTTCCTGGTGCAAGTGCTGGAGGAACCAACTAGGGGCAGAGCTCTTCTTGACCTGCTCCTCACAAACAGGGAAGAATTAGCAGGGGAAGCTAAATCCTAACAGCTAAGGAAACAATACGTATTTTGAAGGATCAGCTGGTTTCACAGTCCCCACCCCACCATTCTACTTCTTTCTACTGTGCTCTTCACTCTCATCTTCTCTCTCACTTTACTACTTTTGTTGTGAATGGGTACTTTAGGAAACACCGACAACAGCAATCTGGAGGCACAGTGTGATAAGTAAAGCAGGTTACTTTAGCCCAAAGTTTTCAGGTGTCCATTTTGAATTCTTGTGAAAAATGGACTATACAGCTGTCTAGCAACTCTGAAAGCCATTCCACTTTTATAACTTCCAAAGTTTGGGTTTAGTTTCCTAACTTTGGGCTTCCAAATTTGAAAATTTGAGCCAAAGTGTGGTTTCCTGATTACAGGCAGATTGGGATTTCGGCCAGACATATTCATCATTCTAAATAGATGCTAATATTGGGAGAAATGTGATCAAATGAATTCCACTCCATGTATGCACATTAAGTGGGTAGACAGTACCTAAGATGTACATGCATAGATCACTGAATGTTTGCCTTGGTGGAGTTTGTCAAAATTCTGTTTTACCGGTTTAGTGTCAACACTGCATGGATAGTTCCAGCTCTCAGTCTAGTATGTGTACTATGTGACCTTCTAGCTAATAAATTAGATAACTTCATACCTTTACATGCTCTTCCTTAAACTTTATAAATACCTTTATTTATCATTAAGTACATTAATGGAGCATGTCTGCGGGACATCTACATAAAAATGTCTCATGCCAGAAGTCTTACCTGGAAACAGTTTTTAAACTTCTTGCTCACAAAATAGAGAGCTATGGGGTTTATACAAGAATTCATGGTTGCCAGGTTAATGCTGATGTAATCCAGTGGCAACAAGAAACTAGGCAACAAAAAAGAAAGTAAAATAATTACAACTCTTTACACATTGTAAGGGCATAAGCATAGCACATGAATACTTTTCTCTAATGCACAGGCCAATTCTCTACTGTCTATATTGATCTTCTTCTAGCATAGGCAATGTGTCAGCAAAGGCCTGTCTGAAATAGCTAGTCAGACATTCCAGTTTGGAAAAATGAGAGGAAGGTGAACAAATAATGGCAGTGATCCAAATTCTGCTCTATCATGAAACCTCATTGGAATGGAATCCCCTAAAACTGAAGGATATAATGGAAGAATCAGAAAATGGAAGAGTCAGCAGTTATAACCTTCTAGTGTCTGGCTCTGACTGCTTAAGTTACCAGTTCTCACAGCTGCATGAGCAATCACATTAAACTCTAAGTAACATATCACCCTATATTTTTTCATTCTAAATGGTTGAGGTAAGAAGATACAATACCTGAACAGTTCACATCTGTTAGGGTCCAATTCATTGTATACCATTTTCTTCAAAATTCGGCTCAAATGGAGAGGAAACCAGCAAAGGGCAAAAATCACTACCAGACAGAAAACTGTCTTTGCAACTTCTCGACGCTGAAGGAAGAAAGCAAAGAAAAAGATTACTGATACATGTCAGTCACATTGCACATGTAAGGGCAGGGAAGTGATAGCAGCACAAAAATAGGCAGTCTAGATAAAAGCATGCACTTAAGATTTCTTGTGCCCAATCCTGCAGTCTTTGCTCATGCAAAACTCATGTTTATTCAGGGACAACTATTACACTGAGTGGGAGTTTTTCATGAGCAAAGACTACAGGCTCAGGCCTTTACAAATGGTTTCACCTTGTCAATGCACACGTCCTGTCCAACAGGTGTGGGTTAGTGAAAGGAATTGTGTCTGTGTGTGTGTGGGGGGGGGGGTTTGAGAATATAGCTGTTGCCTCTGCAGCTGCCACTGGAGTATAACATGCAGGTTAAGCCTCTGTCGTTACAATTTTCAGCCACGTAACTCCAGTTAATCTCCAAATGTGACTTAATATTATTATTGCTTCTTTCTTGTAATAGCAGTTATCAAAATATGAAATCTGATATAACTTTGATTTCTGTGCTAAGAATGGGGCTGCTGCTGCCATGAGCACAATTAAGCATTAATGTGAGGAAGGGGAGAAAGTGAGAGAGCAAAAGTGACAATTGAAAGGACACATTTTTATAAACTGAGGCACAAATCCATCTTGGCTGAGCTTTGGAGATCACAGCAAGGGGGAAGTGGTGGAAGGAGTCTGAAATCTGCATGGTGGCAGATACAGTCTTTCCTTTGGGCCGCCTGACTCTGGCTCTATCCCCTTTCAAGCACAGCTGTGGAGAGCACTCTCATAGAGCTGACTTTGTATTATGAACAGGGTATAAGGGCTAGCACTCCCCCTTGTGCAGTGAGACTGCACAGGTACAGCCTTTCGAGGGTCATTCACAGCTGTAGACAGAGGGTCAGGATTTGAGGGGGTGAGGTAGCAATTGCAGCCTCCTCTCAGACCATAATTGCAGGGACTTGCCTGAAGGTTTTAAAACAGCAGTCCAGAAGGTAATCTAGAAAAGAGCTGCAAACCAAGCAAAGTACAGTCTGATATTACTGTGAGTGACTTTGCACCGTAATCAGTGTTTACACTAGACTTCTTTTTGCCACTCATGGTTGCAATGATGGGAACATTAGTGTAAACAAGACATGGGTGTTTTTATCACTATCTAAAACTGTTCAGAGTAAGGAGAGATGAGAGAGTGGTAAAAATGCTGATGGCACCCCGAACCCTGTCTACACTAGCACTCTTACTGTTTCTACCACCAGTACAACAAAGGGTGATTTCCCCAAAAAGTCTAGTGTAGACAAGGCCAAAGGGTTTATAACCAGGATGCATGATCCCTAGCTCTAGCTCTTTGCAAGAAATGTAAAGTATTCAGCTGAGGACCAGGAAAGGACCAGCAGAGCTTTATGTTTATGGGCAAAAATTCAGAAAACATATTTTTGCCAAATCTTTGTAGCAGCATTCCAAGTAATTTAGCCAGTAGAGATTTAAGGTTAAAGAGAGGGTGAGCAAGACTCTCACACTTTCTTAGGAAAGGAAATAACATGCAATCTCCAATATCTACCTAGTCTATAAATTACTCTTGTGTTCTGGGTTTGGTTGAATACCTCATGGTCAGAAGTCACCGGTAGCCTCACTTTCTATTTCTGGAATTTATTTTATTAAAACCTGTTTTGAAATGTTTATAAACTAACTGCAGACACAGCAGCAGTGTTTTCCCAACATTGGATTCCCTAATATTTACCTGCTTAAGATGTTCACTGAGGGCAATTCTCAAATTGCTGTTCCTTCTGTTTAACATTTCACAAGTCATTAGTGTGTAAAAGACAGCCGTACATGCTAGTGGCACGCAGAAATAAAATCCAAACAGCCACCAATCCTTTGCGTTTTTGTAAAACTGAAGATGAGGAAAAAAAGAGAATGATTTTTTTCCAAATGCAATGCAACAGACAACAGAAATATAACTGAACATGTGGTGGTTGATAGTCGTTCTTCTGAGCCTATTAACTGGAGTGAACTTTGTGCATTCTTGTTCCTTCTAAGATGTGTTTGTGGTGGAGTAGGATTCTGACTGTTTGCAGAAGATTTTTTCTGAGGCATCATCAAGACATTTCTCAGGGAACTAGATAAATATATCTAATTCCTACTCCTGATTTATCATCACTTGTTAATTAGCCCGAAGTTTTAAAGGGTTTGAATTAGTCATAAACCTGTATTTTAATCTCCATAATGGTGTGACTAAACACATCCCTTATGCTAAACTGAGTAGTTACAAGGTATTCTTTCACCAAGCTTTACACCTAGCATATTACGCCCTTGATTACCATGCTATTTCTATATTTAATATAGAGGAATCAGGGAGATGACCTTTAGCCTTGAATACTTTATAGAGATAAAACAGGCATTTGGTGGCAGCATAAACATTCAATTTACCCTGGTGATAACCTGTCTATAACTTTGGTACTATCTGTCTTGGGTTGGAAATTGCTGCTTGAGGAAGTGCTTGCTGGGTATTTATGCTAATTCATGTAAATCAGTGCTCAACGCTTACCACACAACTGACTTGCCACATTGAAACAAGCTGCAGGTTGACTCCTAAGTCCCAATAATAACACAAACACTAAACTGCATATGAAACCTCTAGGATAACAGGTCTTGATAAGAGCCTTTCTCAGCAAAAGTAATTTACCTTTTAAGGCTCCTGTAAACTGTTTTGGATTCCAAAATGGGCAGGTTAAAAATGTCTTGTAAGTGTAATCATCCTCAGCTATCAGTGGATAGATTACTAGTTGGTGTGCTTATGTAGTGGGCAGATAGAGGCCACTTAATGTGTGTTTGTCTGGAAAATGTGAAGCTTAAGACTGGCTGCTTCCAATGGCTTCAGCTGCCTGGTTAGTTTTACCTTTTATTTACCTGATATGCGTGCTATGTGACTTTCATGACAGGAAATCAGGCCCAACAATAACTTCCCAGTATTTTGCTACGTAAACTGCTGGTAGTGATTTAGGAGGCATATTACGTTTGACAAAACATTTACATATTTTATTCCTCTGTTGGCAGCTATATTTGCACACTTGAGGACATGCTGTATTCTATTTTCCCTTTTTAAAGAAGAGCTGTTTTAATCACCAAAACTCTCCATTGAAATATGACATTTTAAATACTTCCTGTCTCTAGGTTATTAGTCGCTGAGCCAGATGTGTGTAAAAGGGGACCACCCCCTTCTTTCTCAAACTCTTTCCCGTAGCTTCTTTATTCCTAATGGATGTGATCTTACTTGTAACATCACAGTTCCCACACCAAAATATCATGATGTTAATAATGGAGGATTATGTGTCTCCTAAACTACTGTAGAAAGAAGTCAGAGGTCTGAGATCTTGTTTACGTATACTTCTGAACAATGCTCAGTTTCTGAAAAGGAACAAAATCAAAGCTATATTGCAAATTAATTGACATCAATTTAATGAGGTTGATTTTTTATCCACTCCATTAGTACAGCCATGGGTTACATGAGAGAAAATATATGTTACTAAGGGAACGCTTTCTCTTTGGACGGGTAGAAGGAAAGGAGGGACCACTGGTCATAGGCCTGATTGTGAAACCTTCATGCATGTTGACTATCACACAAATATTCCCATTGAAGCCAGTGGGACTGTTAGTAAGAAAGTACTCGTCAGGATAAGATTTTCAGAAATGGTCCCAATAGCACTTCTCCTTTAGAATGATTTTGGGTGTTAAGTAGGGTTTTAAAGCCCAGTGCACCCACCTTCCAATGGACCTCCCCACTGGCTAGGATATAACCAGGTCAAAATTTAGTGAACTTACTGCTTCTCCTGTTGCAAAAATAAAGTCCAGAACTGAGATCTGAGAGGTCGTATTGGGAGGGAGGGAAACAACTTTACATTCCAGATGGGACTTCATAGGAGCACACCTAGAAAAGCCACTCAGGGCATATGATGAATCAGCACAGACCCCTCGTGCATTGGCCAAACTCCCTCCGCAGCTGACTTTCTGAATTGTGTTAGTTGGCTCTTTTCTCATCATCAGCATGTGAACGAGAGGATGGTGGGCTCTTTGCATAGCTGTATTCTCTGTGGGCAGAAGTTCCACCACTAGGGATGCACAGCCTGGGTTCTGGTAGCAGAAACCCAAAAGAGAGTCAAGCCTCACATTTTAAAATTTTTGCTGCCTGGGCTGGGCATTTGGAGATTGCCATTTGTCATCTTTTTGGCAGAGAGACAAGGACTGAGAAGACACACACAGAGGGAATTATTTTCCCTGCTCCAGGACGTTCCCCCAGGTCATACTTGAAGCATCTTGGTAGGGGAATATAGGAAAACTTGCACTGCTGTTACCCATGATGGACCTGTTCTGGGCTCAAAAGGAACACCTCACTATCTACAACTCCCATGAGGACTACTGAGTGTGAAAAGAAAAGTTCAAATGAACAACAAAAAATACCCCCACAACCCTGACCAACTTGTAGACTCTGTATGCAGCATTTACTTATTGACATGTCCAAGTTATAAAACCTACAGCAAGATGTCTGTAAATGATTAATTAAGGAATCTGAGCTGCAAGAATCTTACTACAAAGTACAAAACTGGGCTGATTTAAGAGAAATAAGGATCCTTTTGTTTGCCTTGTAAGTCCACATGGAACTAGTTTTCTACAGGAAATGTGCATTTTAAACATGTTTCCTAATGCTCTCAGCCTCCTGGGATTCATGTCCTCACACGAGTCTTTCAAGTCTTTCAAAGGATAATGCTTTGGGGTCAGATTTACTTTTATTAGCTGCGGCTGAATATGGGAACTCATGACTAAAACTGAAGTTCCCTATCCCAGTTAATCTACTTTTTTTTATGAGTCTCAAACTTTAATGGATAAATAAAGCTTTGTTTCACTTTTCAGTCCGACATCCTGCAAGTGTCTATATTCTAATCTGTTGATTGCAAAAGAAGGAACTTTGATTACTTTAAAATTATACAAACCATCATAAACTTGTTTGTAGCATTGAGCATGCAGGTAATATGATCTTCATCTTTGTATTTGAAAGGTATCATGACAAAACCAATTGCTTCTGGAATAGCCAATATAAAGGAGAGAATCCAAATGGAGAAAATTTCAATAGCAGTGATCATGGGGATACCAATTCCCTGAACACGACTCCAGGAGGCAACTGCTCTGTACCTAAAACAAAGAGATAAGCATGACATTCCAGACTATTTTCTTTATTAAGATCTAGAGCTCTTGGGTTGTCTTAACATGTCAGGAATGGTTCTAGATTCCTTAAACTCCCTCAGAATGGCAGCCTGAGATCTGTGTTACCTATGTGATAACAGAGGACCCTACTCATCCAGGAAACCTGCCACCCATAATGCCACCAGCAGCATTGTGGAACAGATCAGATGGCTGGTGGTAGACAGCTGAATGCAAATGTTTACATAGGGCAGCACTGTATCTGCAGGCAGTTAACTAATATTTTATATCCAGAGTAGGGTTGTCAATCTTCCTGGACTAAACTACTGGGAAAAAAAAACCAGACAAACTCATCACAAGCAGGAAAATACGTGTGTTTTGTTTACTCTGCTTAAAGTGCAATCTTCCATATATTTTAAATTCTAAAAATACTGGGTTTTATAGTATGGGGCAATTTCTAGCCTGGCCTCAGAATACAAATAGTAAGGGTGCTAGATAGTGCTATTGACAGCATGTCAGTTCAGTCTCAGTACCTACATCATTTTTCCTATGAGAAACTGCAGCACAGGGTAAGAAAGTCTGAAAATAAAATCCATGCTAAAAACAGTACACTCTTTTCCATAACGTTATCCATTTAAAAATAAAGAGGTTATTTTTCAGAAACAGGCTGTGGTTCTCTGGCAGCAGCAATTCACATATACTTAGCATTTGTAACAGGTTAGCAAAGGCAGTGCAATGTCAAAAGCTGGACTTCATCAAACAGTATATTGTCCCCCTGTAATAATCTAAAGTGGCCTGGTGGGCAGAATTCTTTAATCTGTTCAGTTCCACTTTGCAAACTGTTTATGCTTAATTTGTTTGTTTACTTCCCCAAAATAGTAATAAATAAATATAGTATAGTAATTCCAGATGGGTTTATCATACTGTCTGTTGAAGAAGCATTTTTCTGAAGTTTGGAAAACAAAATAGGAATGCTAGAAATACTGTCCAACTCCTTACGCAATAGTTATGTACCATATGAATATGGGCCCACTGACACAGTAAAAATACCAATGGGAGACGTTGTTAGACATTGTAGGGCCTGGCGTATGTTCCATATACAGTCTCATTAATGTGATGAATTCAGTCTCATACAGCAAGGATGTTTGGGAAATAGACTGAATCAATGGATGCAGGATTGGGCCCTTACTCTCAGAGGAAAACTATTGGACAGCAGGACTGTAGAATAATAGCAGAGAATATAAAAGTGGTAAGGTGCAAAGTGCTCAGTTTTTCATCAATTTAATAGTATACACACTAGAATCTCTCTCTCTAGTGTATACTGCCGGGTCATACAGCATACTTGCAAGACATGCTGGGGAAAGGCTCTTAGGCTTAAGTTATATAAGCTATTAAAACAGCCTAGGCCATTTTAGACTTGTGGGGTGGAGGGAGGAAAAACTCAAAAAAACCTTATTTTAAATGTATTCCTATGCTCTGAGAATGCCCTAAGAGTTTCAGGTGATCGCTCAGTCCCTGGAGGGCATATGAGACAGAGCTATAAGATCATCTAACTGAGCAAACTGTATTTGAATGATTTAAGACATTACCCTCAGTAACAGAGCTGACTGAATAGCGAAAGAAATGTTGCCGTAATATTTATTCACTTTCAAAATCAAGTTTGTTTGATCACATCTTTGACCCTTTTCAATGTTGTTTTGTGAAAAAATTTCAAGTGCTTGAATTTTACTAGCAGGATCATTTCAGCACATGTACATGAATATTCATAGAAACTGAACTTTGAATTGTATGTTTGGTTGTAAAATTCTCATTCAGTCATGTGATATCATTTCAGTTCCCCAATTGGATGATGTATATAACCAATATTGTGTAATTGTGAACTGCAAATTACAGTCAACTACACTATCTGAAGTTCGTGCTGTTAGTTACTCATGTAACTTTTGTAACTGAGTGAATTGCAAGTTGTGAACCTGATTCTCTACTCCCCACACTTTGTGCCGTCAGTTACACTTCTGCAAAGTAAACTATTATTCAGATTTGGTCATGTTTTACAACCTTTTTGCACAGCTGTAAATCACTATACAAGAGGGAGGGCAGTGGAGAATTGGGTCCTGCATATTCAGTTATGATTTTTGCAGCTCACAATTCAAACGACTCATCAGACCAAGAATTATTTATTGAATGTGAATAATTTCAAATAAAGAAGAAATTTAATAATTTGATTATCAGAATTTGTTGAATACATTTTCATACAGAAATTATACGGTCAGCTGTACTCAATTGGTACGAGGATAACTTCAGTAAAATAGTGGTACTTTAATTTTACAAGTGTGTGTACTATGAACTATTTAATACACAGGATCTTTGTCTAGCCTCCAATGGCCTATGATTAGGTGTGTGAAAATGTTGCAGAGTTTGATGCCTTCAAACTTACAGAAATATAGTATGTATATCAGGGAAGTATAATAAAACAAAGGAGCATAATACAGTGCATTAAATTCCCCAACCTAAAAGCCATGTGTGTGTTTTCTGACTTTTCTTTTTCTTTTGTTTTTATTTTCTTTTTCTCGCCATTAATGTCCAACACATTCTATTCATCTCCAGATTGTTTTCTTTTCTCTTTTTCTGCATTTGTTATTCTCTCTATTCTTTGAAAAGCCCCATCTTCTTTCTTTTCAATCTTTAGCTTTCCTATTATGTTGTTTACCCACTTGCTTGCTCCTATATCATATTGTGTCCATCCCTTGCTGTCCTTCTCCTGTGCTCTCTACTTTCTTTTACTCTACACAGTCTTAATTATTTATCCTCACTTGGTCTTCATTGCCTCTAACCAGTCCTCCCTACTATTTGGCATGTATATAATGCTTTTAGATTCATAGAGTTTAAGACCACAGGGAACCATTAAATCATCTAGTCCAGGGGTGGGCAAACTACGGCCCAGGGGCCGCATCCAGCTCTTCAGACATTTTAATCCAGCTCTCGAGCTCCTGCTGGGGAGCAGGGTCTGGGGCTTGCCCTGCTCAAGCAGTCCAGCCAGGGAGCCAGGATCTGGGGCTTGCCCCACTCTGTGCATGCCGTGCCTCCACACGGCTCCCAGAAGCAGCGGCATGTCCCCCCTCCAGCTCTACACACTGCCCCCGCCCCAACCCCGCAGCTCCCATTGGCCTGGAACTGCGGCCAATGGTAGCTGCAGTGGCGGTGCCTACAGACGGGGCAGCATGCAGAACTGCCTGGTTGCCCCTCTGTGTAGGAGCCAGAGGGGTGACATGCCTCTGCTTCCGGGAGCTGCTTGAGGTAAGCACTGCCCGGAACCTGCACCCCTACCCCTCTCCCATGCCCGTGCCCCAGCCCTGATCCCCCTCCTGCCCTCCAAACCCCTTGGTCACAGCCCAAAGCACGCTCCTGCACCCCCAACTCCTCATTCCCAGCCCCACCCCAGAGTCCGCACCCCAGCTGAACCCCGCCCCCCCCCCCGCATCCCAACCCCTATCCCAGCCCAGAGTCCCGTCCCGCACCCTGAACTCCTCATTTTTGGCCCTACCCCAGAGCCCGCACCCCCAGCTGGACACCTGACCCCCTCCCACACTCCAAGCCCCAATTTTGTGAGCATTCATGGCCTGCCATACAATTTCCATACCCAGATGTGGCCCTCGAGCCAAAAAGTTTGCCCACCACTGATCTAGTCTGATCTTCTGTATGTAACAGACCTTTAAATATAACCCAGGTTTCAGTGTTCCCTCTAATTTTTCCCACATGTGTGGAATGAATTTTGTTATATCACCTTTATATTGGTGCACATAATAAAATTCATGGGTCGGGGGTGGGGCTAAGGGGTTCGGAGTGTGGGTGTTGGGGGGGATAGGCACCCCTCCTCTGGCCATGTCAGGTCTGAGCCAGGGCTAGGTTGGGGCCATGGGAGGGGCGCCCCAGTCACGGCAGGTCCAGAGCTAGATTGGGGCTGGGGAAGGGGTGCCCCAGTCGCAGCAGGTCCGGGCTGGGATTGGGTTTGGGCCACCCCTCCCCCGGCCGTGGTAGGTCCTGACTGGCTGGGTTCCCTGAGCTCCTGCGTGGCACTTCATAGGCTACTGCACACCTGTGCAGCCGCACAGCTTACAGGGAACTTAGCTGGGTACCCCTGCATTAATAGTTTGCCCAGTAGTTTGTGTTTGGCTAAAGTATATGCTCCAAAAAAGCATTCCGTCTTCATTTGAAGACATCAGGAGTTGGAGAATCCACCACTATCCTTGGCAGTTTGTTCCAATGGTTAATCACCCTCACTGTTAAAAATGTGTGACTTATTTCTGATTGGAATTTGCCTCATTCATCTTCCAGCCAATGGTTCTTATGCCTTTCTCCACTAGAATAAAGAGCCCTTTAGTATCCGGTATTTTCTTCCTGCAGAGGTACTTCTACACTGTAATCAAGTCAGTCTTAATTTTCTGTTTGATAAACTGAACCGACAGAGTTTTTAGAGTGTCTCAGTGGAAGGCTTTTCCCCGAGGCTTTGAATTATTTTTGTGCGTTTTTCCTGCACCCTCTCCAATTTTTTGAAATGTAGACATCAGAACTGTATGCAGTATTCCAGTATAAGTCTCACCAATGCTGAATACAGAGGTAAAATCATCTATCTGCTCCTACTCACTCCTCCATGTTTATATAGAAGTTAACAAACATTATGTAATCATCACAACAACCCTATTGTAGTTAAGTACTACCATCCCCATTTTACAGAAGGGGAAACTAATGCAGAAAGGGGAAGTGATTTGACCAAGGACAAAGAACGAGTTATTGTCAGAATCAAATTTAGAATAGAAATAATCCCTTGCTTTCAATCCTGTGCTAACTCCACTAAACCACATTGGTTCTCTGCTATTGATCTAGTTTTTTTGGGAAGAGACCACAATGACTGCTCACTAGAAAAGCCAGCTCAGCTGCAGCCAGCTGGCTGGTGGCTGGGAGGATATTTATGGTGACCACTCAGTGCTGTGGTTTATTGGCATAATCTTGCCCATCTGCATAGATACTGAAAACTTGGCTACCACATGAAAGCATATAACCTGGAGTTAGTGTTCCACACAGTACAGTATGCAGCAAAGGCTAAATAAGACCTTACACATACGGGATGAGATCCTTACCTTTACCCTTCACCTTACAATCATTGTCTGGGACATGAGCAAGAGTAAAAAACTCAGTGGGGAAAAAAAGCCCTGAGTGACCTAAGTTTTCCCAACATTAGGCAGTACTGTAGACATAGCCTTAGTCACAGTCAGGCACTGTGTAGAAAAGACTCAGACTGTAGCCATCAGCATGAACCAGAATTTAAAAATGCCTGACAGGGAATTGCAACAAATGTGTGTTTCCTTTGAAGGGTAAAAGACTGGTGTGGCACTGTCTGTCAGCCTCTAAAAACCTTCTCCACATATGAACAGTATTGTCCCCCTGGGTATAAACAGTTAAACCTTAGTTCACGATCCATGCAGGCCAGTTTCTGTGTGGGCCTGGGTAATGGGTAGGGTTTCATAATAGACAGATGCAGTTAAAGGCAGGGACAATCTTGCAAAAAGGAGCAAACATATGGTTCCTAAATCAGGGTTAACATCCACAAAAGATGATTAGAGGAGCAACAGTGACCAAAGATGTGGAACACTGGGTTTTTCTGATTGTTCTGCCATTTGAAGTCAAGGATGTATGTGTAATTGACACCAACTGTGGGGCTTGAGGCATAAAACAAAGCTGTTTTATTAATGACCATGTATAACTTTTTCAGATATTTAATTACCTATTGCTCTAGAGAAGTAGTAATTAAAGCAGCAATGCTTTGTCTTGACTTCCCTTTCAGATAGAATTTCACTGGAGTTTGAATCAATGTTCAGACTTCTTTTCCAGTAAGATCTCAGATTTATTTTGTATTTTAACAAGGCTTTTAATATGACAAAGGAGGTTGGAGGGTTGGGTTTTTTAGCTTGTTACTTATGAAGTGAGCTGTAGCTCACGAAAGCTTATACTCTAATAAATGTATTAGTCTCTAAGGTGCCACAAGTACTCCTTTTCTTTTAACATGATAATAGTTATAATGTTTATGAATACGGTTATTTTACCCCCAACCCATGTTTCTGTGTTTTGCACAATAAAACCAATTAATTTGGCAATAACAAATGAAACCTTTACTTATGTAAAGGCTTCCTTATTTTGTTCTCTGCTTTACTTCCTCAAGTTCTAGTTGAAAATGTTGATAACTTTGATACACAATTTGTCCACAAATATAAGAAATGATGTGTTAATGCAATGATGCCAAGCTCAAAGCAGCACTTCCAAAAACTATGTTGGCTTAGTTTTGCACCATGGAAAACTAGATGCACAATTAAAAAATTTATATAATCCACAATTAGCATAGTATCTGTATCTGAAATGGAACATAACATTGCGCTATTACCTCATATTTCTTTAACTGCACCCCAAAACTGAAAAACTTAAAACTCCATCAAGTTTTGGGTCTGAGCACTGGAAAAATAATTTTATCTCCCAAAAGATGTGGGAATGATATTTGCCTCAGTGTAAAACTTTGAAGTAGAAATGTGAGATCGTGAGAGAGTGCTCTAAGGAACAGATCCTATATCAACAACGTATGTGGAATGTATAGTTTATGGGATACATTCTGAGCAGTGCGATCCCACTGGGCCCTATGCTACTCTCACTAATACTACAGTAAATTGGGAGTAACTCCATTATAGTCAATTATCACATATATAATACTTTACAAACATTAACTAATTAATCACCAAAACAACCCTATGCTATTTCCATTGAAGTATAAAGCTAGTGTGGGATTAGAATCAGTATTGTGTTAGTTCTCAACACTTAACATTCCTCACAAGGGTATTGTTATCCCCATTTTATATGCTTTGCCAAGGATACATTATTTAGCATCTCACGCTACTACAGTAAATATTTGCAGGGAATATGTTGGGGGCAAACAGACATGTAGGGTCCGATTCAAATTTCAGTTGCACCAGAGTAAATCTCGATTAACCCCAGTGAAATCAGGAACTACCCCAGAGAGTCAGTTTTCAAAATTTTCAAATGAGGGTGTCTAAAGTTAAATACTTACATAAAAGTGACCTGAGTTTCAGAGATGCATTCAGATCTCCCACTGACTTCAACACTTTTGAAAACCAGGCCCACTTTATTTAAGTCAATTGGACATCTACTGTCATCAGTAGGAGCACTGGATGCTTTTTGAGTGCACCCCTAAAAATAAGGACACTTTTATTTAGGGGCCTACGAATGGATTTAGGTTCTTGACCTTAGGCACCCAGGTTTGAAAATCTGGGCATGAGTGATTTGTCCATGGCTACAAAGGAAGTAAGTGCAAGCCAGGATTAGAACACAGGGATTCTTTGGCCCGTGCTGTGCTTTTAGATCATTGCCCACAATGACTTGCACCGAGAAAGCTATTTGTCCTTTGAGTGAGGAAAAATTGGGATTTTAGTACATACATTTCGTACATACATACAAAAAAGACGAAAAATTGCCACACAACAAATCTTAACAGTAAAACTGAATCCTATATGTTTTTGAGAGTATGAACAAGACGTATTGTTAAGGTATGCACTTATACCTGTGGTATAACCACACCATTCACGGCTCTCAGTTTTAGAACAAGCACAAGTGAGAGGTCTCAAAGAACAGTGTCCAACAAAAGGATGAGAGATACTATACCTGTCCACACTAAGGGCACAGAGATTGAGGACTGTGATGCCCACTGATGCCTTCTGTATAAAGGGGAGGAATTTGCAAAGAAACAGCCCAAAATCAGAATCCGCAAATGGCCACCGCTGAGCATGAAGCTAAAGAAAGGACATAAGATAATCAGAAATGATAACGTAGACAGTGAATATGTAACAACCTGTAATCATGACCTATCTTCGGATCCAGCCCTGATAGCCCAAAATTCTACATGTTTAAGCAATTCTCTTGGTAATGAATGAAAGTGGGAGGTAATTCTGCTGCCGTAGAAACATGGAGGAATTAAGGAGAGTGTTTAAACATAAGCAGTGGGAGGATGTATTGATCCTCTCCAACTGAGGTAGTAACAGTTTCACTGTTAAAGGATCCTTTCCTAAAATGCTTCAGACACTGTTATGCGCACAGAAAATCAAATTCAGCCCTACCCTGGCATAAACTGGAGCAAACCCCATGTGTCTGCTTTCATCAGGGCTGAATTTGGCCCAGAGTCTAGCATTCAAGGCATGACTCACACCTCATAATGGGACACTTAAGAGCCTAATTCTCATTGTTGCACACAAACAGATTCTTATCATTGTAAATTTACCACTGGAACTTGTGACAGTTTTGGATGTTGGATTATGAAACCTGTGGAAAGATCATTATTACATGTATACAATTTGTACCATGTTATATTTTAAAGGGCAGGCATCCCCCAGGTGGGCTGTGGTAGGTGACAATAGAGAGGCAGTTTTAAGTGAGTATATGCATGAGTGGCAGCAGTTTGGACTAACATTTCTCTCCCCTAGGATGTATCAACATAACAAATGTGAATAAATTGATTCTTGTGCACAATTAGGGAACCAACAGTAATCTCCATCCCAGCTGTCATTTATGCTTTGAACAAGTAAAGATGCGTGCAAAGCTTTGCTCCTTGTATTACAGTTTTTTCACATCTATGAAATAGGTTATATAACTCAAAGCCTTATATATAAAATTGAAATACAATGCATCTGAGCCTGGGATGAGATTCTGTCAATGTCCTGAAGTCTGCATAACAGCATTTTTTGAAGGAAGTACAGAATAATAACAATACGTTCATTTTTTTATTTATACCCGAGCTTACTAACTAAAGGCATGGAAGTATTTGTATGACACTCTGCAAGTGGTGATCACAAATGTCTTCCATCTGTTTCAGGGGAAGGTGGGAAGTAATACCCAGTTACTTTGGAGACTTGTAGAGACTATGCTGAGTTTCTCATTGTGTATAACTTAACTAACAGCAATGATGGGCCCAACCAGCCCCCATGGGTCCTAATCCTCTGAACATTTGAGGAAGTTGAGATCCAGATCTAGATCTTAATTTTGTGGATGGCTGAATTAAACCCTGAGATTTGAATATCCCCAAGTTTCACCTCAGAAAAGACTAGTCCCTGCACTTGTGCTTTTCTTCCTCTCTGCACACAAGCACCCAGGTCAGGCACAGTCTGACCAAAAACCTTATATCAGACCAGCCTTGTTCTAAACATTGGCCAACCACAGTGTGAACTGGTGCCAAATTAGAATTGATAATGAAATCCAAAACCACATGAGTTTCATGACATTTAGGTTTTGCTGTGTACATTTCCTACATATCTGCTAAGCACACAGAATATTATTTTCAAATGTCAACGTAATAGCCTACAGATACAACTGTGGCATTTCCAATCAAAAATTTGTGGAATGTCATATTCCGGCTGCCACTGATCCAGGGCACAATGGTAAAAGGTGGGAGCAAGGAGTCATCCTTTCCCCTGGTACAGCTACACAAGAATCATCTGGAATCTTGGTGCTTTTGCCTTTTGAATACAAAAGGAAAAGTGAGTGTTAGTGGGTCAAGACTCCATCATTGCTGCAGTAGGCTTAAAAGTCATAGAATAATCTTGTATATTAACTCTGCTACTAAGAAAGCAACAAGATGAGGTCTTTGGTATAATGTCTTAAGGATCTTCTCAAGATAAAATCACTCAGAGAAAAAAATTGTATAACATCTTTTCTGATCGTGCTTGTAGAATTGGAATAGATCCCAATCTCTCCAATTCCCAGCAGAGCCTTTGAGTCTCTTCGTGCTCTCTCTTATGCCAGTTTTACATCATTATAACTCAGTGGAATTACTCTGATTACATTGGTACAAATGGTAGCAGAATGAGACTTCATCCCTGTAAACTGATACTACCTATCTGTACAACAGCCCACCGTCTGAGTGCTAGCTTGAGCTTGCTTGTTTTTAGATTACAAAAATCTTGAGTTTATTTCCACAAATTCTCTTTTTTCCCCCTCTCTTCCTTTTTATTTTCAGCCTGAAATCTGGGGAAAGAGAATATCTTGGACACTTCCCAGCCAGCATCTTTCCTCACGTGAGCCCCAAACAGAACTCTGGTCACTGTGGAGCCCAGGGAACTTTTTCCAACCCTTATTGTTTATTACTGGACACCATAAAGGCATCTATTCCTGAAGTGCTTTTATACCGAGATTGGCTCCTCGGGTAAATCTAATTCAGAGCTTTGACAATCAGATAGTCCATAAACATCTGTCCTCTTGTTTCCTGACTGAAGGCCAGACAAATGATTACTCTGTGGTATTAATTGGGTCACTCATCAGTGCATAATTGTTTGTTATGGGGTTTCTTGCACCTTCCTTTGAAGCATCTGGCTTAAGAATGACAAAATCTTGGAATAAACTGGACAACAGGGTTTGATCTGGTATGGCAATTCCTATTGTTCTCAGCCAATTCCAAACATCTCTCCACTACACTACTTTGTTGCAAAAGCTTTTTATCTTTGGAGATATTTTGAAAATCTGTCTCTTCTGTCTATGCACTTTGGTTTCCAGGCCATCAATTCTTCTATCCACCTTGATTATCTGGTTAGTAATTTGGACTGTCATTTTTTTCAAGATTACATTCCGGAATCCACATATGATGTGGATGACCATCAATGTTGGTAAAGGGAAGGTGTGTATGTAGCTGTTTTGAGCACAGGACTGAGAATCATGACTCCTTAGTTCTATTCCCAGCTCTGCCCTGACTGCGGTGCAAACTGGGCAAGTCACTGCACAGCTCTGTGCATCAGTTTACCATAACAGTGTTATGATAAGCCTTTGTTAACCAAGCCTGTGTTAACCAAGCCTTTGTTATACTATAACACTGTTATGGGTAACATACCTTAGTCTCATCTCAAGCTCTTTCCACCTATGGAATGCTCTCTGGTGATTTGCTGCCTCCTCATGACATGCCAGATTTCTAGCCAGATTTTTCCAGTTCTTTGTTCCTGTAGAATGCAATGTGGCTGGAACATTAGACTGGAAGAGTTTGCAACAAAAACAGCATGCAGCATTCTGAGATTTTGAGTACATAAGCCATGGCCTCTACACTTTGTCACCATTGGGGATTTCACACCAGTAATGTGTTGGATGGAAACTTCTATTTTCATTGTCTTTGGGGAACATGAAATTTTTCACTTGCTGTTGCCCATGCAGTACAAGGAAGTCCCTCAGGCTACTGCTCAAGAGGGTCCACAGTCCTGGATCATCTAGACTTAAGGAACTAAACTCAGCAGCTGCTGTTTCTTGTGCCTCCACCACAGTCTTCTCTGATCTACACTTTTCTTCAGGAATGTGCATGGTTACATCCATTTGAGATTGAGATATGGATGCTGCAGTACCTGCCAGATCACCTGCACTCTAACTGGAAGATGAGGCATCTCCTCACCACTCACATCCTCACTGGGGCCAGAAGGCTCACCATGAACATTTGTGTCTATGTATCTCAGGAGAGCTCCTTCCTGCTTAGATAGAAAAGCTTCCTTTGCTTGCTTGCTTTTTCTGAATGCTGCCCCAGAGGGGCGTTTTCTTCTTTCACTCTTGACTGCTGTTCTGTGTCAGCTATAGTGGCTCTCAACACTCAGTTGAAGGGGACAAATAAGCAGGGTGGTAGCAGGGCCTGTGTGAGGGAAGATGTCAGTGTCTTAAGGGCCTAACTGACTCCTACTACTTCAGTTGACTGCCTGTTCTCCTCAAGTGGATTACAGGAAGCAGCAGGAAACAGGAAGCTTCCTGAGAAGCTGGTGTTAATCAGTCTAGGCTCCTGGGGTGCTAGAGAAGTACATAAGAGGGTCCCCCTCCTCTCTCTCCCTGCAGCTCATGCTGCTTTCTGTTATTCCCTCTCACCTTTTTTCCTGCCTGCCTGTTATGATTCTTGTGCCCTCCTTCCTCCAGCACAGCACTCCACCATCTCTGTGCATCTTGTGCAGGGAGAATACATATGCACCAGCAGCAGACACAATTTTCTACACTCTGGGTCCTAGTGGCACCCCCCACAGTCTGGCACCTGAGGCGGCCGCCTCAGTTCACCTCAAGGTAAAGCCAGCCCTGACTGCATTTTAGAAGCTGGATGGGAAGTGGGTGGGGGAAGCTCAAAGTTTTGATAGTTGGAAGTTTTACTGCCTGGGAAATGCAGGAGGCAGCTTAATATATTGGGATAAGCATATTACCTGAATGCTTTTTCTAACATAATAAGCAGTAAAATAGTTAATAATGTTGACAATCAATATCATTAGGTTTCAGAGTCAACACCCAGTTTCTGTTTCGGGCTGTCTGCATACTTGGATAGACTCTACTACTTTGGCATATGGTAAATTCATATTCTGAAAGTTATCTTTGCAGCCATATGGCTTAGAACCCTTTTTTCTAAAAAAAATGAAAGCTTAAATTTTGGAGCACAATTCTGCAGCATGTGTGGGTGAACGCTGCACCAAATTCTGCAGCAGCAGAATTACAGAATAGACGCTGGTAATAGCTCTGCATTCTGACATCCAAGGTAAACACTTTTTTTCTCTCTATTAATATGTTCCAATTGTTAAAAATTATTTAATCAGAATACGACAAATGATATATTAAATATTCCTATGGAGTCAGCAAAATTTACATCTGGTTTAATCTTACTTATAGTACAGGCTACTTATCTAGTATTTCTAAATTAAAGTTCACAGCTTGTTGTCAAAGCTACTGGCTGTTGAGTGGGGAAAAGTTTGCATGACACAGCAAAATATTCAGTATTCATTGAATACTGAGCATTTAGGTATTC